TACATACATACATACAAATAGTTCAGGCCATCATAATTTATTGAAGAATTCTTTGCAGTAAGTATAGAGTTTCTTAATCTGTAAAACCAAATTCTGTTGTCTAATTTAGTGGGCAATACATAGCAGTGATCATGGAAGATGACTGTTTGGATCTTGGAGCTGTTGCGTTTGTGTTGTGTTTTCATTTTAAATGAGATACAAAGCTGAGGGCAAAGGAAAAACACGCAGTTGATCAAGAAGTTATCAGGAGAACAATTTTTTTGTATGTCTGGTGCATCCTTTTAAATTTGTGAATACATTAATTTCAGAAGCACTTAACAATTATCAAATGAATACATACTTATTAATAAATAAATTATATGACTTGAATGTTCTCTCCAATGCAGATAACTCAACATTGGCTGATAGGGGAAGTTTCAGTGTCCATGTACAAAGCATTGCTGTCAAAGGGAATATCAACAGCAGCTTTGCTGTTAATATAGCAGTTGGTAAGTTTGCAACACAACTGATCAGGTCACTGATTTCAGAAATTCTGGCTATAACAAATTGGATGTATTATTGTTTGACTTGGGGTATAGATTTTAACAAATGGTAAACACAGCACACACTATTGAGTTATGGATGCATGCAGGAGGTTGCTAAAAACAAAAGAAGTATCATTGAAGAGTTGTGCAAGGTGATAGCCAAGAGCAACTCTAGCTTCTTGAGTGCTTAGCAAACTTCCCTCTAAAATGTAGCTCTGGTTGTCACAATTTGGCCAAGAATTCTGGAAAATTCTCTGATCTCTAATTAATGCCCCAAAAACACCCTTTTTCCTCACAAATTGTCCTTTGCACATTACAGAGAGCACATCAACTAATTTTACCCTGGAAGAAGTCATGGTGACATTCATTAGTGAGATAAAATGCTACACTTCACAGCACTACTTCAGCCTTTCTCATCTGATGTACTTGAGAATATTTTACGTCAAAGGTATTATGGACCATTGGAATGCACAGGACTTTATTCATAGGAGTTTGGAGAGGAATACACTTTTGGTTCCTACCTTTTCTCTGATACCTGTGGATGCTCTCGAAAAGAACACAGTGATGCTTTTCTGTTGTTTCCTACAAAAAGCAGAAAATGAGTCTCTAGTGGACTGATGGTGACGAGAGGCTAGACTCAGTTGCAGATCTAGAGAAAGGATGGCAGAAGTCTGAACCCCACCCCCCCATCCCCCAGACCTATGGATTTTTGCTTCTTGTCTGACACCAATTCACATGAGAAAGGCAAGTGTACAACATATCAGGAACAGTAAGAGTAAAACTTTGATAAATAATTATATCTTATTAACCAAGCGCGAGGGCCAAACTGGGAGAATATCGGCCCGAAGTCTTGACAGTACGGACCGAGCGCAGCGAGGTCCGTACAAAAAAGACCTCGGGCCGATATTCTTCCNTTATATCTTCCTCTTATTGATCAGTTGGTATGTATTCCATTATATCGTTTAATGTATCAGTAATTTCCCGCCAAGACTGTTGTCATTTAATATTAGTAATGACATTTAGTTTATCAGTAGTCTCCAGTCATTGCTGTCAATTCTAGCATTTTTTAGTTCTCTTGTTACTTTTAGCTGTATTTAGTTGTATCTATTTCCTGTAAACATTGACCCGCCTAAATTAGCTTAGCTACCTGCGGATATGTTACTGTACTTTTATCTCAAAACAATAAAATGTATGTATGTAATTATATTCTAACATAAGTAAAGTAAAGTCTTAAGCCCTCTAAACAACAAACGTGTTTAGTTACAATAATAAGGTTGTGATTGGATGTCAGCATTATCAGGTGCCTCTGGCAGCTGCTCCAGTCCATGTAACAATCTCACCTCCCCACCTCAGGGGAGAACATCCACCACACAGTAATCTCATGCATGGGAAATTAACGTCTCCTACCCCTAACCCTGCAGGAGACGGGGCCTACGGTTTATTCGTCCTTATCCGAGAAGACTAGAATATCTATCCATTTCTTAATATTATAGAAAGGTAGTAAATTCTCCTCAGTTATTTTAAGACCATGAGTTTTGGTCTGGCCGGGGCTTGAACCCTCAACCTCCCGCACAACACAATCCAGCGCTCTAACTAATTGAGCTAACCGGGAGGCTTACAAACTTAGAATGATGTTCTGGTCACAAGTGTGGTACAAAGAAAAAATTCTGAGTCCCTAGGAGGAATTGAACCTCAGATCTACAGGTTCCACGCTCTGATGCTCTACCACTAAGCCACAGAGACTCCGTGGCGAACAAGGCCCATTACAAATTACATTTATGACACGCGTCTTGCATACTGCTAAGATCAGCAATGTTGAGGCAGCATGGTTTGTAAAGAATAAGAAACGTGGTAAGTTTTGAATTCTGTAAAGAAATATAAAGATGTTTTTCATCTAGTCACGAGCACAGAACAAAGAAAAATTCCTCATGGAGACTCAGAATTTAGTCTGTCCCATGCTTGTGACAAGACGAAAACACATCTATTTCTCTACCGAGCTCAAACCTTACCATCTTTCTTATTCATTACAAACCTTAACAAATTACTTTCCCGGACTCAACTCTTTATCACCTAAGAGTGACTAGTGAGAAGAGAAGTTTTTCATGTAGCAGAGCTTAGTTGTAGAACAACTATTAATTTACTTACCTGTAGACCTTCCACTACCATGAATGATCAAGACAGAATTTCTACTTACAATATCAATACAATATCAAGCAGACAAGTGATGAGAATTAAAAAAAATATCAACTGTTGAATTATTATTTGATTACTAATTATTAGTTAATTCTCCAAACTAACATTATAAGAATTGTATGGCAGACAATAAGGAGAATTATTATCCAACTACTCTCTGTAGAGTACAAATAACACCATAGATGAGTAGAAACATCACATGGTATTTGTACTCTAGAGTACTGGTTAAACAGGTTTTCTTGCATCATGCAAGCAAAGAATTGGATTGTTGTTACAGAAAAAAAAAATGGTGGACAATTTGAATCATATTTCTGACAACGAAGAGTCAGAATGGTCGGCAAATATGGATCTAAGTTTATTAGATGAGTCAAACGAGGAAAAAAAGCTAAATGACCAGGAAATTTCTTCATTTATTGAAGAAAATATAAACAGCACCACGACAACCCGCTACTTCCGTTCCGCTTCGCATAATCCTGTCACGCACTCCCCGTAAATAAATATCCACGAAATTCGCNAAATAATAATAATAATAATAATAATAATGGAAACTTTATTTGTGTTTTTAAATGTACAATTGTAAATCTCACTACGTATAGGCAATTTACAAATGCTGCTTGAGATTGGCTTATTCAACACACACACAAAAATCAAAATTGCATCAAATCTGGGTTGTCCCAATTCCTATTTCTACAACAAAAGACGTAATATGTTGCTCTAATAGCTATATTTATCATTTTCTTGATTATGTAAAGTTGCTGCTTTTTGGCAATGCCTATGTCATTCATCATGCCTAAGAACGTAGAGCATTCATCTGAGAAAACGCCAAGGGAGCTCATGGAGAGATTTACAAATTTCACACATCTGAAAGTTCTACTCATTTCGTTGATCAAGTTCCGATATTTTTCTTTTTTACGCACTGCATTGTTGTACAAGTTAGATTCAAAACCAACTGTTAATTCTAGAACATATAGGCACTTGGACTGGGTTAGGAAAAGAAGATCTGGGTGATAATTTTCACCAGTTATTATTGAGGGATTTAGAAAACCAGTAACATCTGCATAGATTGTCAATGAGGAGCTAACATTAATTACAAGTTGAAGGGACTTGGCAATGAAGGTAAGGATTGAGTCATGTCTCCAGGTAAAGCGATAAAGGCATTGTTGACAACCAGCAACAACATGAAGGAGTGACTCAGGATTAAGGCAAAAGGAACAATCAGGACTTTGTGATAATCCCCATCTTACCAAATTCTTACATGTAGGAAGAGAGTTTTTGATGTAACGGATGGTAAAATAATAATAATAATAATAATAATAATTTAGTAGTCATAATAATAAAAATAATAGTAATAATAATAATAATAATAACCGGTATTTATATAGTGCACATATCAAAAAAACTCTCATGGCACTTTACAATAAGTGTAAGAAATTGAGTAAAATTAATTTAAAAATGATCACAACTGTCGATATATATAGAAGATAAATATGTTTTCAGATTCTTTTTAAGTAAAGGCAGTGTTCCAACATTTCTGATGTGGGTAGGCAGACAATTCCATAATTTTGGTGCACAGACTGAGAATGCTCTATCTCCATATGTTTTTGTTCTTGATGTTGGTGTTGCTTGGAGATATATTAGTGGTCTTAGTCAAAGCACTGAGATCATGTTCTTAGAAGTCCCGCTTGTTACAAATACCAAAAAGCTGTTACTAGAGTCATACAATCATTCTTTACATGTAACAGAGGTTTACATTCAAATAACAAAAGAAAAGACAAAAGGAGGGGGACTGGGCCCTACCTTTTGATTGAAGCTCTTCCAAGATAAGATTTATGGTTTCCAGAGATAGTTTACCTGAACAACAAGTCAAAGGAAATTATTGTCTATGATTATGGTTATGACTAACTAAAGTTTCCATTGTCCTTTCTAATCACAAGATTTTATGAATAATTCTCCTTTCTACACGTTTGAACAGACTCCCTATGACGACCCCCTCTACAATATCCCCCCCGGGGGAAGGGAGTCTTTAAAGAGTCTGTAGAAAATCGGTTGACTGAGATTGGATCAAAGTTTTGTAGCTACCCATACATTTTTTTATAATCTATATTACATTGTTTAATGCTACATCAATAGGATGCTCCCTAGTAGTTTCATTTTCCTATTCTTACCACCTTTTCGCTGATTAGGATGGTAAATGCACAGATACTACTGGAGAAATCGTGCTAAATTCTCATCACTTTTGACAAATTCTAGGGGGTTAATCTACTTTGGAGAAGGTCAATATTGTTACATTGAAACATATGGATGTAACAAGGATACGATCGATTTTCTTGTTGAAGAATAGTTCGCTCGTTTGTGCTTCTGTGACATCGAGAATGTAACTTTTATGATGTTTGTAAAAGGCCAACACAAGATCACACCATCCTGCGATCTGCTTTCTTCGAGTATCTAGATTTGGTTGAAGCCTGTCAAGAGATCTCTGTGTTAACAATCTAGCATAGGCTAGGGGTCTGACCCGGATATTATCTCTACTTACGTGAAAAAAGGAGGAAAATTATATTGCCAGGGCCAGTCGAAAGTGTTCGCCATCTTGAATAAGGCCGGGCCGCAAAGCACCAATGTGTACGGTAACTTAGCCTGCGTAGTGACCCTCTGGAGCCTGGCGTGAAAAGGGGCGCGAGAAGGGAAAGTGAGCGATGAAAATATTCAAAGAAGAGGCATGTACGACCTTTTGAAAGTTCCCTACTTGTGTCGAGAATTTAGCTTTGCAAAAATTTACTTCCGGTAATCGCTGATTGGTTCATTTTGTGAGGCGTGTTTTTGAAATTTAGTTGGGGGCGGATAGTCAACAACAACGGCCTTGTCCGCAGGCCCTCATTTTCCCTTCTCGCGCCAGGCTCCAGAGGGCCGCTATGCAGGCTAACGGTAACTATTTCACGTATCCCTGTAATGTCTCCAGGTTGTACTAAACGTCCAGTGCGAAGTCTGGCAATCGACCGCCCGTGTCAAATTGAGCTGTGCTATAAGTTTAAGTCAATTGTTAATAAGAGAACCTGAGCAGAAAGAGAAGAGTATTCTGAAATTGTTGTATGGAGACGAATTTT